CCCTCAATTTCTCTGTATTGATGCACTTTCTTGGCTGGGGCCAAAGCAGAGGTGGGGAGAAGTGAAAGAGCTGCTGATGGTCTCCAGTAGCTGTTGACTTCCTGGAGTGTTTGTAAAGTGCAAAAGTGCTTGTTGGTGCATGCTCTTGGCAACCGTAAATCAACACGAAAATAAACAGACCCCTCAGCTCCCCAGATCAAATCAAATAACCCAGAGACAGCAAATCAAATGTTACCTGGCTCTTGTAGAGCACTCCTGGTCTGGAAGTGCTCTCCAAAGAAGGTAAGCATCATTATCCCTCGGTACAGACCGGGAAATTGGCACAGCATTGTCCCTCTGGGGAAACCGGTGCAGTGAGAGCAGTTCTCATCTGTTAAATACACACTCAAGCTGTTTCCCATCTGCACTAGGAAATGGAAAGCCCTGATTGGCAGAGCACAAAACTGGGCCTGGCCCCTGTGCCAAGAAGTTAAACCCATGATTGGCCTGTCTAATTGCAGTGCCTGGAGGGCAGGCCAGGCCAGTTCCTGCTCTGACGTATCAGTCGTGTTTCTTGCTGGCAATAGGCTCCCCTAGATTCTAGGGGCCCTGGGCTCCAGACTCTTTCGGCTTGGGCTGGATATTGAGATCCATCCTCCGGGGATGAGGGGGAGTCTCTGAGCCAAATCAGCTGTAAGATGTGTGGCCGCCTATGAAGCGCTGTGCAGATGCTCAGGGAACCCAGCCCTGACAGACCTGCTGTGGCGTCCGGAGAGGGGCCCTAGCCCAGTCTCAACTTACTGGGCAGAGGTGTCCCTCCAGCCCCAACCTCCCCACATCTCAGGGAGAGGCGCCTGTCCCCTGGACCTGCTGTGGCCAGGAGACCGACACCATCCATCCCTGGGGGAAGGGCACCTGGCCTGTGATCCCAGCCCCATAGTTGCTGCAGTGAGCTAGCTGTGGGGGGTCCTCTCTCCCCACCACGCTCCCAGGACAGCCACGCTCCAAACCTCTCATCCCCGACTCCACTCCAGAGCCCGCCCCCCCAGCTGGAACACTCACCCTGTGGCCCCCCCATAACTCTTTGCCCCGGCCCTGAGCCCTCATCTCCAGGTCCACACCCCGGCCGCACCCCAACCCTGTGCCCCAGCCCTGAGCCGCCTCTCGCACCCCGAGCCTCCCAGTCCTACCACATGAATATTATGTGCGCCAACATGACGTGATGTGTGACACATCAGCTCCATGTCAGTGCATGTAACCAAATTCATTCTGCCCATCGGGGGTAAAGGGGGGGGTGAGAGGGAACACTGACCACTCTGCAATCTGCTAGTCTCACAGCCTGAGCCAGCCGAGCCAGCAGCAGCCCTACCGCCAGGAGTGAGTACTGGAGTGCAGCTGTATCCTCAGTGCTCTGTACCCTCAATAGCCTCCTGGCCACAGTCCTGGCACTTTTGGTTAGGGCTGAACATTTCATGCTGCCCCCAGCTGCCTTGTCCCCCAGTTACAGGGCAAGGAAAGTTGGTTTGATCTCCATGGTTGTCTTGGGCAGTGTGATTCACACTGCTCTGTTGAACCTCCTTGGAGTAACATGAGGCCAGTAGACTGGTCTGGCCCATCCATTCAGAGCCATGCTGCCCGTGGAGGAGGCTGTGGCTATGGACAGTCACTGCCTAGCTGTGTGTGTGTGAGCCCGCTCCTGAGCCACCTTGTGTCTGGCCATGCCCTGCTAGTCTTTCAGGGCTAGGAAGCAAGGCCAGGCACTGGCAGGTGCCTTCGATTTCAAAGAATGTATGAGAGCGCGCAGCGAAGTGCTGATCCCCTCGTAGCCAGTCCAGGGATGGAGTGACCGTGAGATAAAGGGAGTGCGGCTTGGCTCTTTTCTTACCGTGTGTCTGCACTACATTCCTCTTTCGAAAGAGGAATGCAAACGAGGGAAATCCAAAATGCAAATGAAGGGCAGATTTACAAATCTCGCGCTTAATTTGCATAATCACATACAATTGCTTTTTTGAAAATGCTTTTTTCCCCCAAAAAAACCTGTCTAGATGCGGTTCTTTTGGGGGGGCGGGGAAGTGGGGAAACCCTTTTTCAGAAGAATCCTTCTTCCAGGCTTATAGGGTTCTTTTGAAAAAGGTGGGTTTTTTTTCGCTTTTAGACTGCTTTTTTTTCCCAAAAAACCTTTTTCGAAAAGCGATCAGATGCGATTATGCAAATGAAGCGTGAGAGTTGTAAATCTGCACTTAATTTGCATTTTTGATTTCCCTCATTTGCATTCCTCTTTTGAAAGAGGAATGTAGTCTAGACCAGTGTTTCTCAACCTTTTTTTTTATAAAGTACCCTGTAAGCTGGTCAGCTCTGGGAGGGACACCTCCCCTTCAGGTCCCCAACCCACTACACCCGGATCAGCCTCTGGGGGGGGAATTAACACAAATAACAACCAGTCCAGGGTCCCCGCTCTTACCTCAGGGCGGGGTGACGAGAGTAAACGATAACAAAGGCGGCTTAACAAAGGCAGCCTGGGTTTGGGCAGGCCAGTAAATGATAGGCCGAGGCCCGGCCTTAGCTCAGGATGGGCCACCAAGTCTATGGTGAGAGAGGCCCAGCCCTAGTTCCGGGCGGGGCCGCCGGTAAACCGTTTGTAGCCCGGCCTTTGGTAAGGGCGGGGTGACAGGCAATAGTTTATCAAGGCCCAGCCCGGGTTCAGGGTGGGGCCGCAGGAACACAGTTGATAACGTGATTTACCCAATTGCAGCTTCCTGATTCAGGAGGGTTGCGGGCAGCTCGCCGGCAATGGCAGATGGGGGGAAGCTACCACCCAAAAGGTGGGGGTCAGGGAGGGCACAAGCCCGCCCACTCCACTGTGCCCTGGCCCAGGGCCCTAGGGGCAGCAGGCTGCTGCTGCTGGATCAGTGGGGGCTTCAGCCCGAAACACACTGATCCAGGCATGTCTGCATCCATTCTGTCCCTTGGCCACTTGCCTCTTCCCCCGTGGCACGTACCTGACAGTTGCGTAGGCCTCCCGCGGAGTCAGGGGGATCTAGGTCCATTGGCCACTCCTCAGTGGCTTACTTGCCAGGTGTTTGGGACGTCCGGGGAAGTCGGTGGTTCCTCTGGGTCACGGTGCAGCAGGTGTGTAAAAAGTACACAAATAATAAAGTGCTGTAAAACTGAAAACAAAAATTCTGTTTTGTCCAAATTTCAGTTGTGTTGACGCCCCCCCCCCGACTTCTCTCGAGTATCCCTGAGGGTACTCGTACCACTGGTTGAGAAACACTGGTCCAGACGCACCCTTAGTGACTTTGCAGACGGTTGCTGAGATGCAAAGTCCACTCCCCAAAGCTCCTAATGGCTTCCCCTTGCCAAGTCCAAGGCCTTTGCCAGCCTTTCCCGCCTAGGTCTTTTTGGCCCAGTTATTCACTCTGTCCTCCTCTACTGGCCTTCTCTCCCTCCATCGTGCTTGACTGTGTCCTTAGCATCTCCCTGGCTAGTTTCTCCCCTTCCCCTCATGAGGGTCCCTCCCTTTTCCCTTGACCCCCATATTATGCAGTAACTAAATGGCATGGGATGTAATGCATCTGTCCAGCGGGCCCATTCCTCTTGCTCCAGCATATCCCGGCTACGTCAGGCTTGGCCAGCAGGAGAGTGAGATCTTGCAATGTGACCAGTGTGGTGAGATTGGCGCCTGTGTCTGGTTAATGCTGATAGTAGTGACTGTCCCTCTCATAGGGCTGAAGTAGCCCATAGGTGTCCGACTGGCTTGTGGCAGGAGAGGAGGGTCCAGTGGGAAAAGTCAGTGAAGTAGCAGGGCCCTTTCTAGTGGCACTAGAATGCCCATCTCTCCCTGTGGGTAGGACCAGCATCCGGGTCGCTAACCAGCGCTCTGCTCTCTCCCGCCCAGACCTCCTGTACATCTCTGAGTATTTCTCTCAGAGCGCCCAGAAGCTGTCCTTCTACAGCTGGTATGGGAACGCCAGACTCTTCCGCTTCCATGTGCCGGAGGACACCATTCTGCTGCGCTGGCTTCTGCAGGCCTCCAAGGGAAAAGGACCTGAGTGCACCAGCATGGAGATCACCATGTACGTAGAACCTGGCATCCATGGGCATTGATTCTACCCCTCCTCTCCCACACCTTTCAATCCCTTTGGGGCTGCTCCAGCCCCCGCCGGTTAACTGTCTCCAGGAAGCATCACCCGGCAAGGGTGATTACCCAGTTAACCAGGAAGCACTTCCCTAGTGTGAACACGTGCTGGCTGCTCTCTTGCCTCGTTGTTGCTTTTGGAAGGCGAGGCTTTGCATTTTATGTGCATCCTTCCCTGCTTTATCTTGCAGCCACTTCCGTTACGGAGCCCCTCCCGTCATTAACCCGCTGGGCTCTCGGTTTCCCTCGAATGCGACCGTCCGCCCGTCCTACAACCAAACCATGACTCTGAGCACCACGCTGCAGAACAGTTCCTTTGTGAACATCACCACCCCTGCTGCCGGAGACTGGTTCATTGCTGTGCACCTGCCGGAGGCTGCAGGCAAGATCGAAGTGAAGGTAGGGGCTGCCAGGGGCACGGGTGCAGAATCCTTTTGCCTGTCTGAGGCCCTCAGCGAGGGAAGCCCTCGGCTCTGGGAGGGGTGGAGGTAACTGTTCCCCACGGCAGAGGGGTTGGGCTGTGCTGCTCACTGGCACCCCAGCAGTTGGTCACGGAATGATGCTCTGGCCACGGAAGAGTCACTTTACCAGCCAGGGTTCACAGTTTGCTGCTGAGGTGTGGAAGAGGGCCGCATGGGGGTGGGACTCGCTGGGCTGGCCATGCCCACTTGGACCATGGGTCTGTTCCCATGGTCAGTGGGAGCCCGTTGGGCATCCAGCCAGGCTGCAAGATGGTCCCCCCTCTACTGGGGCGCTGGGCCGCAGAGCGAAAGGTTGTGTGGCAGCTACACCCCTCTGCTTTGTGGAGAGGTGATTTTCAAGAAGATGGAGATCAGTGGTTCCCAAACTTTTCGACATCACGCCCCCTTTTTGATTTTTGAGAAACCCTCACGCCCCCCTCCCCCCAATAACAGCAAATT